GGTAGAGTAACTTCAAGAATTTCCTTGATGGACCTTTAGGCTTGAAGACCATGAATTAAGCTCGTCTTGTAGAAGCCGAACTTGGTGACCTAACCAAAATTTAATTGGATATAATTACATAAGTAATGTAATTTTGACTTATTTTATTAATCCAGACTTATTAACCAAAAATGTTGATTTGAATTTAGAATTTTGTCGAAATTTTGTATGGGCGTGATCAATACAATTTTGATGTCTACAATTATTAACAAGTGTTCTCTCATGTCATTTGTGAGGATCTTTCTTTTTTATTCTGGACACAAACTATTCTAAAGCTGAATAAATGTTTTTTTGGCAAAAGTAGTCACTTAATGGCCAAACATAAGAACTCTGCCTTTCAATAAAAAAGATATTGGATTGAATTACAATGGACCTAAAAGAAAAGGTCAAGTAAACTATCACATAGGAATGACACAAACTTGGATTCTTTAGCTCCTCTTTAGGCGGCCACTATGTCCATAATTGGGAGTCTTTTAAGAGGCAACTATACATATAACTTCATTATTATACAAGTTAGGGTTACCAAGAAATCGAACTTTTGATTCATCAACTTAAGTTTAAATACACTCCCCTTTACTTTTGTTTTCTTTTCCCTTCCAAAGACAAATTTGATTTGCTTTTAAGATAGAGGCTAGAACTTGTGTACTTTTTATCCTTTTTCTTTTTCTAAATAATGACATGATTGGTATGATGATCTTCACTCTGAGATATGTAGTGGTAGCTTTTATATAGGCATGGAGATTGTCATAAGTGCTAGAGCCTAGAAGATATGTCTGGGGTGTTCGTCGGCCAGTACAGTACGGTATTTAGATATTTTGGTTCAGTATTTTCGGTATTCGATTTCGTAAAATGCTATACCAATATTGTACCTAATTAAATTCGGTATGGTTTAATTTTTATCCTTTCGGTTTCTGTTTATTCGGTTCGGTAACTTCGGTTTATTCGGTTTGAATACTAACTAGTGCATATAGTCATAGACGATAATATTCTTAATTAAAGTACTCAAAAGTACAAAACTAAAAACGTTTGTTGACAAAAATTTTGTCCAAAACCAGCAAATACCAACCTAGAGAGATAAAACTTAGAGAAATATCTCGTTACTTGCTTAGAGTTAATTGATAAATTTAGAGAATAAAGGAAAGTAAAATTTTAGATTTCTTATATTTATGTTATAATTAATAAAATTTGTATTGTGTAATATAATATATATTTCAGTACGGTATTGGTATTTCAGTATTTTATTTTAAAATACCAAATACCATACCTAATACCAATATTTTTTATAACTTAAACCAAATACCATACCGAATACCAAAATATTCGATTTCGATACGGTACTTCGATATTTACCAAATTATGCACGGCTCTAGATATAACAATGGAACTAACAATCGGCAAACTAGTTCAAAAGCACTTGTTAGGTGGTAACAAAGAAAGAAAGTAGTACATATTTATTATTGGCTTTTAAAATTTTAATATATACATATATTTTTTAATAAAAATTAGTATATAAATGTTATACAAATGAAATAATATTTAAAATTTTATTAAATAAAATTTATAAGAAATTATAACAGCTAATTTTATTTCCAAGAAAAGAAAAATGATGTCTAATCTTTTGGGCTTTTCTTATAGCATGACATATCAAGTGTATCTTTTCGAAAGATAATAGTTTAAAATATTTATAAAAAATTCTTTAGAAGATAGAGAGATCTATAAATAAATAAGAACTGCAATAAGCTTCACTTGATACATATTTGAAATAATTGACAGCCTGTTTAGATAATTGTTGTCTATTGTATTGTATCATATTGTTACTTTAAATACAATATTTATATTGATTATTGCTTAAATTTTATTGTATCGTGTCGTTAAATTTGTCATTATGTAACGATAAAGTTTTATTTTATGTAACGATCGATTTAGTGCGATCGTGTCATTATATTTTTTCTCTCATTTTATCCTTAATTATTAGTATTTAATAATTACATTTTTTACCTTTTTTATAATAACTTTAATTACACGTACTAATTTATTTTTTATTTTATTTTTTAATATTGTAATCTTATTTTTTAAATTATTAGTACGTCACATTATGAGACAATGAAAAAAATATAATCTATCCAAATACTATATTAATCGAAATAATATATTATAATACAGTACGATATATTGAAAAACGAGACATAAGAATAACTCAGACAATTGACGCTAGGTAATGGATCAAACAAGTAAAGTTACAACCCTTCCCCTCCCCCTCCGTATATTTAAATAAATAAATAAAAAGAAGTAAAGCGTAAGATGCGAAATTTGCGAACTTCCTAGTTGTACTCCTTTTTGTGATCTTTTAATTCAATCACCTTCTTATCTATTTGTAGATTGTACTATTTGTTTAATTTTTTTTCGCTCTAATTGTCTTTCATTCTAAAATTAGTTTTGGTATTAGGATGGACTTTAAAAAGCTGGGCTGTGACCTGCCTAGTGGTCTCAAGCAAACTTTCTCAATACATATTCAATTCTCATTTCATATATCACAACCCCTTAGACATTCCCTTAATAGTAAATACATATAAACCATAACGTAACGTAAACTCATCATTCTAAATCCCAAGTAGTTGTATAGGGTAAAATATGCTATGACACGTGACCGTCCAAAAAAGGGACACGTGGAACCCAAGACGGGGATGCCCAAAGATCGAAGGCAATTGTTTCGTTTGTCACCGGAAAGAATAATGCTCATAAAGATGTGATAAATGCTCTTCGCCCGGTAGCATTTAATAGAGAATATTTTATAGCATTAAGAGCAATTACTCGTTACAGGGAATTTGGCATTTATGTTCACTGTTACATCTTCATCAATGCTCCTCATAATTGACATTAAAGAAAGGCACGATCCAAGGACCTCCTTCATAGCTATAAATAGTGAGCTCAATTGTCATTGTAAAGGATACGAATTTTCTGGCAAACTTGCATTGCATTCTATACAAAGCTCAATACAATCTTATCTTCTTACTTTATGGTTTCGTTGTTGTTGTGCCCGAAAATTCTGTTCCCGGAACTGTCGCTTCTGCTGTTTCATCTATATCCTAAGGCTAAGTATTGCATAATTTTTTGATTATTTTATTATTTTAGGATCAAATTAATTTACTTGTTTGGAAATTACGTATAAACTCAACTGTACCGTTTTACGGGTAAATAGTTTGGCGCCCACCGTGGGGCCTAGACAACCGTATAATTAAATTGATCCTTGCCTTTTTTACTAACGTGTTTTGATTATTTTGTCTTAGAAAAAATCATAAGAAGTGGCAGATAGCACTGTTAACGACATGCACAACCTCGAGATTCGAGAGGACCAGTCTCATTTTGAGGACTCAATCAGTGACACCCATAATGAGGGAAATTACGCTACACCAGTGCATGACAAGCAATATCCTCGATATGTTCGGGAGACCACTCCCGATGATGCTGATGAGGAACATATTGTTGACGTGGTAAGGGTCTTGCAAGAGCAACCGCCGATCATTCTAGGCCACATCACGCGACAGGATATGGTCATGACGGAGTTGAAGCTGGCGTTGTCGGGAGCTTCAAATAATGCAAACAGTAGAGATTTGATTCCTCCCGGGGTCCCTACGAATCAAACAACACAGAGGGTCGACAACGATACTTCCAGGGGTGAAATTGGCTCTGATGGGGAAGAGGGGAGCGGATTCGGCCTCAACAACGAGAATGATCCTTTCAAGAATGAACTTTTACGGTTTATGAGGGAAGTGAATGCCCACATGGACAAGATCCCGAGCACGCCTCTAGTGCTGAAAGGTCCGGACTTGAAAAAGTATACTCAATCTCCATACAAGCCAAGTGCGGCACCAGAGTTAATCGCGAAGTGATTCAAAATGCCTGAAATGCCAAAGTATGCTGAAACTTCAGATCCCGAGGAGCATATTACCACCTACACAACGGTGGTAAAGGGAAATAATTTAGCTCCTCACGAAATTGAATCTGTGTTGCTAAAGAAATTTGGAGAAACCCTCACGAGGGGGCCTTGACGTGGTATTCGTTGTTACCCGAGTATTCCATAGACTCCTTTGAAATGCTCGCGGATTCTTTCATCAAGGCTCATGTCGGGGCTAGAAAGTACATGCCCGAAAGGCTGACATATTCAGGATTGCGCAAGGAGAGTCCGAACTGCTATGAGAGTTCGTTACCCGATTCCAAAGGTAGAGAATATTGCTCCCGGTTATTACGGATGAATAGGCAGCTGAAGCATTCACCAAGGGATTGAATCCAAGGAGTTCAGATGCTTCCCAAAAATTAAAGGAAGGCCTACTCGAGTTTCAAACAACGACCTGGGTGGATGTCCACAAGCGGTACGAATCAAAAATAAGGATCAAAGATGATTAGGTTGGTTTTCCACTGTTAACCAAAGGACGAGAAAAGAATAGAGAAAAATCCAAGGATGATTATGATGCAGACAAAGGACTTTAAGGGGCCGGTTTTTGCCCTACGAACGGACCAAAGCCCGCATCAGAGGTTCCTGGATAGCGGACAGGTTTGCCGTTGACAGGAGGACTGATCGCGGTCGGCACAATCGATCGCTACAAGATAAAGAAGTGTCAGGATCGCAGGATCCTTCATACCCTAAATTATCGGAGTACAACTTCAATACCAGTATAGTTGAGTTGGTGTCGGCCATGAGAATCATCAATGAAGCACGGTTCCCGAAACCTATGAGATCTGATCCCATCCAGAGGGATCCCAACTTGTGGTATGAATACCACATGATGAATGGCCATCGGACGGGGGACTATCGACACCTCCGGGAAGAAGTGGCAACATCATTGAAAGATTGTCACCTCAGAGAATTCTTGAGTGATCGAGCTAAGAACAATTATGGTCGTAACCGGGACAACGCGGAACCCTCAAAAGCAGGAGAAGGTCCCCCGCATCAAACAATCAACATGATCTTAGGAGGGAACGAGATTAACTGGGTCACCTTTTCAGCAGCAAAGAAGATGAAAGTATCAATAACGTATAGCAAAAGGCTTTGGGAAGACGATATCACTTTTACGGAAGAAGACGCAAACGGATTGTTGCTACCACACAACGACACATTGGTAATTTCTTTAAATATGCTAGATTCTAAGATTAAACGTGTTCTAATGGATCCAGGAAGTTCAGTTAATATCATACAATTGAGAGTATTGGAGCAAGCTAAACTCATCGGAAGTATTATTTCAGCCACAAAGCTCCTCGCCGGATTCAACCTCGCAAGTGTGATAACCCGGGGAGAAATTTTATTAGTCACGAACGCTGAAGGAATAATGAAAATAACTCTTTTCAAATTAGTAGATGGTGATATAGGATACAACATCATTCTGGGAAGGGCATGGTTGCACGAGATGAAAGTTGTACCATCAACGTATCACCAATTGCTAAAGTTTCCAACTCCCGAAGGAATTAAGCAGATAAGGGGTGATCAACCGGCGGCAAGGAAGATGAATGCAATTTTGGTCTCCAGTAGCAAAGGAAAGGAACACGCGTCATAGAAATTATAGGGACCGACATCTACTCCCGAACTAGATGAAGTTAACCTAGGGGCATAGGCATCGGAATATGATTAGGTGTCGAGATATTTCCAAGTTTTAGAAGAGACTGATGCAACCAAGTCCACAGCGGAAGAGCTGGAGCAAGTGGCATTGTTCGAAAAATCCTGATTGCTGAAGCTAGGAACAAAATCGTCAAAGAAGAGGTAACCCACTTACTTAATATTGGTTCGATCCGAGAGGTAAGATATCCAGACTGGCTAGCCAATGTAGTAGTAGTAGTTCCTAAGAAGAAAAATAAGTTTCGCATGTGTGTAGATTATAAAAATCTTAACAAGGCATGCCCGAAAGACTCGTTCCTGCTCCCAAACATCGATCAAATGATTGATTCCACGACCGGTCACGAGTTAGTGAGTTTCCTCGATGCTTATTCCGGGTACAACCAAATTAAGATGAACCCGGAGGATCAGAAAAAACTTCATTTATAACGAATTTCGGTATATATTGCTATAATGTGATGCCCTTCGGGTTGAAAAATGTTGGATCCACTTATCAACGGCTTGTGAATAAGATATTTGAAAATCAAATAGGAAATACTATGGAAGTTTATATAGATTATATACTCGTTAAGTCTTTAACTGCAGGTGATCATCTTAAACATCTGCAAAAAACTTTCGACATCCTAAGGAAGCATAATATGAAACTTAATCCCGAGAAATGTGCGTTCAGAGTCAGGTCTGGTAAGTTTCTGGGATTTCTGGTATCACAAAGGGGAATTGAGGTAAACCCCGATAAGATTAAGGACATAGAAGATATCCCGGAACAACTATCAAACGTGAAGCAAGTCCAAAGGCTTACGGGGAGATTGGCATCTTTGAGCAGGTTCATTTCCCGGTCATCAGAAAAGTGTCATCGTTTCTTCGCACTGCTAAAAAAGAAAAATAATTTCGAATGGACCCCGGAGTGCCAGCAGGCTTTGAGGTATTTAAAGAAATACTTATCAAGCCTTCCACCTTTCATAACCAAAAGAAGGTGAAACGTTGCTGGTTTATCTCGCGGTCTCAGAAGTTGCGATAAGTGTTGTTTTAGTCCGAGAGAACGAAGGTACGCAATCTCCCATTTATTATGTTAGTAAAATTTTAACGGGAGCAGAAACGCGTTACCCATATTTGGAGAAACTGGCCTTAGCTCTCGTAGTCACCGCTCGAAAGTTGAGGCCCCACTTCTAATACCACCTGATAGCCGTGGTGACTACTTTCCCTTTGTGGAACATCCTCCATAAACCTGAGCTCTCGTGTAGATTGGCCAAAGGGCCGTCGAAATGAGTGAAATCGACATAGAATATAAACCAATGACTGCAATTAAATCGTAAGTCTTGGCTGACGTCATGGACGATTTTAGTCTAGGATTATTTCCTCTTGCAACCAAGGAAGTAGTAATGGTGTCGGAATTGACATCAGGGGTTTAGACCTTATTTACGGACGGAGCTTCCAACGTAAAAGGGTCCGGGCTCGGTATAGTCTTAATCACGCCTTCGGGGGAAACCCTAAGGCTAGCCATCAAGACGGTCCATTTAACTAACAACGAAGCAGAGTATGAAGCTTTGATTGCAGGGCTCGAAGTTGGCTCGGGGACTTGACTCTGAGGTCATCAAAATCAAATGCGACTCAAAGCTGGTGGTAAATCAGGTCTACAGGATCTTCAAGACCAAAGGGGAGCGCATGCAACAATAAATAGTAAAGGTTCAGGCTCTGTTGGCGCGATTCCGGGAGTGGTCAATTACTTATATCCCAAGGGAAGATAACACAGAAGCAGGCACATTGGAAAACCTAGGAGCATCGATGGAAATAAAGGGATCGGAGTCTGGGACGGTAGTACAACTGATGAACTCAGTCCTGGATACGGATGGTTACTATGAGGTAAATTCGACGAATCTGGTATGGGACTGCAGGAATGAAATCATTGATTATCTCAAACACAGGAAGCTACCTTAAGACCCCAAACTATCGTGGGCGCTGCGCGCCAAAGTAGTGCGATATAGCTTCAAGAGAGGCCAATTGTATAGAAATCTTTTCAATGCCCGATGCTTAGGGGTATCCAAAGCAAACTATGTCATTATAGAGGTTCATAAAGGGATATGTGGCAATCACTCGGGCGCGGACTCCTTAGTGCTGAAGTTGGTAAGGGCAGGATATTATTGACCCCGCACGGAACAAGACGCCAAAGACTTCGTATGAAAATGTGATAAGTGTCAACGCTACGCACCACTGGTGCATCAACCGGCAGAACTCTTACATTCGGTTCTGTCCCTGTGGTTGTTCATGAAATGGGGAATGGACATCGTCGGACCACTGCCACCGTTTCCCGGAAAGGTAAGATTTCTTTTGATTTTGACTGACTATTTTTCTAAGTGGGTGGAAGCAGATCCATATCAGAAGATCGGAGAACGCGAAGTGGTAATTTTATTATTGGAAAATATAATTTGCAGGTTCAGAATACCAAAAGAGATAGCATGCGATAATGGGCCACAGTTTTATCGGCGCAAATATTACAAAGTTCCTCTAAGATTTAAAAATAAAGAGGATCACATCTTCACCCTATCATTCGAGCGCAAATGGTCAAGCAGAGTCGACGAACAAAGTGATTATTCAAAACCTCAAGAAACGGTTGGAAGAAGCTAAGGGTAATTGGCCTGAGGAATTACCTGGAGTTCTATGGTCATACCGAACTACGGCCAAGTCAAGCACAGGGGAAACCCCTTTTTCCCTCGTATACGGTGCATAAGCTTTAATCTCGGTGGAAGTAAGGGAACCCACCTTGAGATATTTCCAGTAAGATGAAGAATCGAACAACTAAGCAATGTTAGTCAACTTGGAACTGCTCGATGAACGCAGGGACTTGGCGCATGTAAGAATGGTAGCTCAAAAGTAGAGAATGGAGCGGTATTATAATCAAAGAGCGAACCTCCATTATTTCAACGTAGGAGACTTGGTCCTAAGAAAAGTAACTCAAAACACTCGGGAGCTCAATGCGGGGAAGCTAGGTCTAACGTGGGAAGGCCCCTACCGGGTTTCAGCTATCATCGGGAAAGATTCATACAAGTTGGAAAACCAAAATGGAGAAAAGTTGCCCAGCAATTGGAATGTGGCACACCTCAAAAGATATTATTGCTGATGAACATTATCCGATCAGAAAGTATGTGCTGCACTCTTTTTCCCTTCGTTCAATTTTTGTCCCAATTGGGTTTTTTGGCAAGATTTTTAACGAGGTAGCAACAGAAAGCATACTATGAAGACCGCAACAATAAGACCTTTAATAGCAAGGCACACAAGCAAAGATCCACTCGGGGATGGTTAGATAATTTTTTGCTCTATAGCAAATTCCCACCGGAAAGTTAAATTTGCTATTGAGCAAAGGTTACCTGATAGTTCACAAGCACAAACCACTAGAGGATTGTTGGATAGTCCTTCGCTCGATAGCATAAAATCCTAAGGGGAAGTAAAGTGTGTTACCAAGTTAAGGATTATCTAGCAATGCATTAGTGGAATCTTCGAAGATACAAGACTTCCAGTGTTCTAATTCGCACTCTTCCCATTCGAACAATGGGGGGAATGATATTAGGATACGATGACAATGACTGCCATGTCAACTAAGAAACAAAAAATTGGAAGTATAACTGCATCATCGGGATCTGGGACTACGCGGCCAGCCCTGTAGAAACAAGTTGTACAAGTTAGCCATAAGTAATGGCAATTTCTTTTCAGCATAGCAAATGCTTATGTACTTTTTGAAAATAGAAGGAATAAAATAAAATCCTTTTGTTTTTATCTTGTTTCTTTCCTGAACGATGAATTAACTTTGTCATTTGAAAGTTAAACAAAATGCTAGTGTCGTATTGAATAGGAGACGTCCTCTTCAAGAGCACCGTAAACATAAGAGGGCCTTCTCTTATAAAAACCCTCTTGTTAAAGGGTTGGTTTCGGAAAAATTTATGCCCGGAATCAAAATGCCTCTGGGGAAAGATACACCCAAATCCGTATACGAAAGGACGCAAAAAGTAAACTTGCGCAAATACTTATCAAAGCCCTCACGAAAAAGGGCTAATGCTTAAAGTCAAAAATGCTTTCGGGGAGAATACACCTAAGGCTTCACATAATAAGACGCAAAACAGAAAAGCTTGCGCTAAATTCTTAAGAAAAAGGAAGAAAATACAAAGATTAAAAACTTGCATAAATATTTAAATGAAAGGAAGACTCAAATAATACTTGAGCAAAAGATGTTTTTATTTACAAAAACACGTTAAAACCGCACAGTACAAGAATTGGAAAATGAAAAGAAAAGTTAAGCTGCAGTATCTCCGGAACCAGGAGGAAGAGAAGTGTCCGCGCCCCCGGGAGAAGTAGATGGACCCACCGATGGCTCAACATTTGCACTAGTTTTCCCTTCAGCATCATCATTCTTCGATTCTTCTTCAGTTCCCGAGAACTCGGAATCGGAACCAGAAGGACTAGGTGCATCATACCTTGCTGGGAGTTCACTTTTAACAGCCAACTCAAGCTCACGGGGCTTTAGAAATTTTGGTATCAAAATCAATGACACCAGCCTTGGCCTCTTCCAAGGTATTTCTCCTCATGCTATACATAGCTTAAGGTTTTTCAACAATGAGGGAAGTCGCTCGGCACTTAAGTTTTTTTTTGTGTTGGGTTTCCTCGGCAGAAAGATTTTCCTGGGCGGACCTGGCAGATTTGAGGCTAACATTAAGGTCACGGACAGTTGAACTAAAAATCCTATTATGCTCGATAGTTTTCCTGTACTTCTCTTTTAGCTGGGCGTGTTTCGCCCCAGTAGCAGTAAGCTCTTCAATTTTGGAGTTCAAGGCTGCCTCTAAGTTGATCACTCTTTCAGCGGAGGCAGCCTCGTGTTCGGTTGCAGCAAGAACGGCGTTATGGACTTCAGCCCATTTGGCCCTGGCTTCATCAAATCTAACCCTCAGCCGGCCAATT